GCGCTGCGGCCCCGCCTCCGCCCCGGCCCGCTCAGCGGGACCTCTGGGGCCGCGCTCGCGCAGCGCCTGTTGCTCCTGGAGACGGGGAGCCCTTTCTCGCAAGTTCTGCGACATCCCTTGGCCGGGGCGCTTGAGGACTCACTTCAGTTCTAATACAGGCCGTCTGCCCACAGCCCTGGGGAGCGGGGTGGGGGCGAGTGCTAGAGTTTGTCCCTGCACGTGGCGTATTTGCACGTACCAAGATGCCTGGCAGCCGGGACAACAGTCCGAGAAGAGGCCAGACTAAGGACTGGGCTGGGCTGGGGAGGATGGACCCAGCTCAGCAGCAGGGCTAGGTGTCTGGATGTCACTAAGGTCCAAGAAGCCCACCCTGCACCGTCGGGGGCGCCCTCCTCCGCCCTCCTCCCTCCCATTGCTCTGTGCCCAGGACTGCCCAGGAGCAGCAGCTTGCCCTGCCTTGTTTTAACCAGCAGGTTTTAAAATATCTTGCTGTTTATGAACTTCCTTGTGAGAAATAGGGAAGAGTAGCTTCCACCATCTTGGGACAAAGCTTCTTTTAGAAATTAGTTTTATTAAGCCTAAAGATAATACATTCGCATGCTTAAAACTAATTTAAATGGCACTTTAGGACGCAAAATGAAAAGTAACCCGTTTCCCAGGCTGTCCCTAGCTAACCTGTTCAAGCAATGTGTCTCCCTGCAGGCAGGTTGCACACAGAGCCCACCCCCACCATACACACACCTGTCCTGGGTTAGGAGGAGGAGCTTCACAGCCTCCTGGGGGCCCACTGTAAATTCTTTTAGGTCTGTGGACCTAAAAGGAGTTCATTTTCCAAGGATGGTCTCAGGCCTGCCTCAGGGCCTTTGCATTTTGTTCTTCCTACCTGGACAACAGCTCTTTCCCAGAAAGTCACATGACACCCTGCCTGCCCCATTTTGGCAGGCATATGCTCACTTGTCACACGCTTAGGGAAACCCTCCCAGGTCGTGTCAACTCAGAGCATCCTCCCATTTTTCTCAGTTCCTTCCTGCCTTTCTGCATCCTCCATGGCCTGACTCCCCCACCCCATGAGAAGTAAACCCCACGAGTGATGGATGTTGCTGGTTCACTGTCCTGCCCATCATCATAGATAGATCATTGCACCCAGGAGGCAGTCAGTGTTTGTTGACTGAATGAATGAGTGTTGGATCCCATGCCCAGCACAGTGATTAGACCACAGCAAGTATTCACAGAGTACTTAATGAATGAATTAAGTCTGCTCTGATAGTTTATGACAGTCGAAGGGCAGTTTGGGGCAGATGTTGGAGTGGGAAGGGTGTGTGTGGGAGGTAAGGAATCAGGAGCAAAGCGGGCTCCACGCCCCTGGACAGAGTCCATGGGAGCGTTATCACCCCTGCACATATGCCGTTGAAGGCAGGTTTCACAATATGAATTTGGGGCCTGCCTCAGTCAGGGCGACCTTGGAATCCTACCCCAAGGTGAGGGGTAGGCCTGAGATCAGAAGGGTTTGGACAACTGGAACTGTGTAGTCAGAGGCACCTGCAGGGCCAAGAGAAGCTGACCCACGGGGGTGCAGACAGGATAATGCCAGTGAGGCAGAGGTGGGTGACAACATCCTAATCACCTGCCAAGAGCGGGCTACAGCCAAGGAGTCACATTCCCTTTGTCCAAGGGCCTCATCCAAAGGGTTCAGGGGAGCAGGGCCCAGAGGCCATCATGGGTCCCTGGTCGTCATTGCAGGAATGGAGACCAGAGAACCCTGGGACAGGCTTGGAGACTGGGGGGGCAGTTGCCCATCCCTCACTCCATGCCCAGTGCTCGGCAGGGGACAGAGAGGCTCAGCCTCCCTGCCCACCTCCAGGGAGTTCTAGGCTGGCGCATTGAGAACCTAAGTACAATTGGGATGAGTGCCTCGAAAAGTACAGGATCCGCAGGGGACCCATCCAGCCTGGGGCTCTCAGAAGCACCCCCATAGCGGGCGACAGCAAAGTTGAAAGCTACAGTGTTGGGAATGTGTCGGGCCAAGCTGGAAAGTGCACGGGAAGGAGGAAGTGATCAGAGTCTAGGACAGGAAGGACTCGGGCCGCACCTTAGTCCCATGCCCGGAGCTGGCACGAATTCCAGTTTGTCTGTACCTTCCTCCTGCGCCTCCAGGGGCCGCGGAGAAGCCCACAGACCAAGCATCAACAGGGCCACCTCCCCACAACCTCGGACTCTCTAAGCTGCCCTGTCTCCTTTGTACCGTGAGCTCAGGCTCACGGGGGCCCTGGCCTAGCCTGGGCACTGCTGGCTGTGTTGTCCTGAGCTGTCACAGCACCATGTGCTTCCGAATGCCGGCCTCCACACACACACTCACCCCACAGAGCTGTCCCCAGCCCTCTCCATCCCACGGCCTCACCCTGGCTTGGTGTCCTCCCCAAGGATGGATTTTCTCTTGTGACCTCCAGGATGAGGTTTCCCGCATGCTGGCTGTCCCCTGAGTACCTTGAGGTGGCACCACCTTGCTCCCAAAGAGCACAGGGAGACAACCACCTTAGGAGAAAGCAGACCCATGCTTCGAAGGGCAGGGCACCTAACCAGACTTCCGGGGGTGGGTCAGGTTCCTGAGCAGATTTGAAGGGTGCACGGTGGTCAGCCAGGAGCAGACACGGAAGGACATTCCTGGCCCAGAGGTGAGGGAATGTGTAAGCATGGGGGACCGGGAGGAGGTGCTGGGAGCAGAACAGGAGCAGGGAGCTGAACTGCGGGACATACGGCTTGAATGCTGTACTGGGATTTTGGCCAGTCCTGCCATTAAAAGGGAAGCCAGGGAGAGACCAGGCTGCATGTGGCACCCCGGGGGAGAAGTGGACGCAGGACACTGCCCTTACAGCCTGAGGCACATGCACCAATGCCTTGGGGCTCGAGGACACAGAGGCTCAGGCAGGCAGGCACCAAGAGGGGCTCAAGGGTGGCTGGCCAGAGGGCTAAGGTGAGCTCTGTGCCAGTTGCCTGGCGACTCTGTGCTGATTTATCCTTGAGGTTGGACAGTCTGCCCAGGAAGCAGCAGGTGACACAGGCAATGCGCAGTGGCAAGGTGCTCGGGCCGTGGGAACATCTGGGAAGACCGGGTAGGGATGGGGACAGGGCAGGGCCTGGAGGACAGGCAGTGGTGAAGGCCAGGTTCCAGGCAGACAGCATCTTGGGAAGCTTTCCGGCTTGGGGGAGGGGGGGGCTCTCACCCGTCAGTCCTGAGGCAGGGTCCAGAGCTGATTTTTTTTCCTCACGGGCTGACCAGACAGAATGACTGGATCCCAGCTGGGAAGGAAGCAGGGACTGCGGGGACACAGCGCTGTCCAGCTAGCCTGAGAAGGCCGTGAGAGCCAGGAGGGCAGCTGGAGGACGCGTGTAGCTAGCGGGAGAGTCTGGAGCAGAGGGCCTCAGGAGCCGAGGAGAGCTGGTCACCAGATGGGGATCTGGGGACACAGGAAAAAGTGGCTTTGTCCTGCAGTAAGCAGGAAAGGCCACGCTGTCCCCAGGGTCCAGGGGAGGAGCTTTTGCAGTGGGGACAGAGAGGCCTCTGTGAGGGGAAGCGCCCAGCCAGCTGGAGCCCACAACCCTCTTGGGGCCTGCCTGGCACAAGAGAAAGGGGCCCCAGAGTCGGCGGTTTCTGTGCATGGGGACTCTTAGCGAAGAGTGCCCAGAGGAGCTAGAGAGGGAAGGTGGGTCCCTGGGCAAGGCGTGCTCCCCATCCTTATCCCTTGAGGCCACCTGGGGACAGGTTTGGGGTTGGGCGCCAGGCCCCGCCCCTAGGAGGGCCGGGCGGCCAATCCGAGGGAGGGCTGAGCCGCGGCAGCGCGGTGGAGGTGGGGGAGCAGAAGGGCGGTCTGCTCGGGGACCCTTCCCCCCGCCCCGAGAGGCCAGGAGGGAGGCAGACTGGGGGACCCCCGCCTCTGCCAGACATGAGCCTCCGCGCGGCCCCGACCCTCTAGGTACCGCGGTGGGAGAGCCCGCGGCGCTGGCCCCTCGGCCGGAAAAATCAAACCGGGCAGGCGGCCTCTCAGCCAATCGGGGAGCACGTGGGCCAGCCCCGGCCAATGGCCGCCGCGAATGCTAATGAGCGCTGACGCCACGAGGAGGCCCATTCAAAAAGTAGCAGCTATTGTCGCGACCGGTTGCGTGCGCCCGCCCGGC